CATCTTTTTCTACATACCAATTTTATTTTTTTTTCATGGCATATATATGTGCCATTGGACATAAGTTTTCTGGATTGAGTTTGAAATTATTTAATAAAGTGAACTAAAGTTATAAAATGTGATTGAATGAAGTTTTGGATTGAACGTTGAGTTATGTTTGGAAATGCGCTAAAATAAAATAATTAAACTTGATGTGATGTAAAAGTAGGAGAAAAATTATTCGATTTGATTGTCATATAAAAATATGTGAATAGATAAATAGTAAATTTTATTGATGTGATGTATGAAATTTATCGTCTGTTGTTATCTAATTATATTGATAATAAAAAAAAATTAAAATTGCTCGGTAGATTTGAAGTGGATACTCTTACGGTGTTAGTAGATTAGCCAGACACATTTTATAATATATTGAAACATTTTTACAGTAAAAATGTAATTTTAATTATACAACGTTGTTTTACATGTCTATTGAACTGATCGAGAGCGAGTTCAGGTAGTTCGAGCTCGGTCGAGATTGTTTACACATCACAATATAAAATAATTATATATATAGATACTAATGTAAAATAATTAATATAAATATATATTAAAAAAATTGTATAGTAAAGTTTTATAATAAATGAACTGATGATAACATCATCATTTCGTCATTTTTATATGTGAGTATTATTTTATTTTTCAGTTTTTAGTCGTTTATTTATTTTTAGAGTTAAGGAATCTTTTTTAATCCACAGAATTAGTGTTGGGATTCACACGGGTTCATACCATCAACAATGATTTGGTCCCTTTGGCCCTTTTGACTTTTGAATTTATTATTAAACCTTTTCCTTTATGTTTTTATTTAGCCTATCAGAAGACGCGTGTTACTTCCTACGACTGACATTTGTCTTCATCTCTTTTAATGTTTTTACTATGAATAATGCTACTTGTACCCCTTGGTGTACCACTTGGTTTACATCCAAGGTGTATATATACCCATTTACCCTTAATGAATAGTCTACTAAATGATTCATTAAGGGTAAATG